GCGTGGACTGTGGTCCACTATTTCAGTGGAACAGTGAATTCGTCAAGGCCTGGGGCCTGCTAGAACCTCAGCGCGAATCGCGCGCGATGATTCTAGTATATATGTGTATAGATATACAGATATCTGTGAATGTATACATACAATGTACATATATGTATATATTGGCTATCGTGGTGTGGTCAACGTGCCAGAAGTGGTGCTTTGGAGCTGCTCTGGACTACGGGCGCAGCGATTAAGTTGATTCGCTGTGTTGAAGTCCCAGGAAGAGCGTTTTGGCACGATTCAGGATCGCCAATGCGCAACAGTCAGCTTATTTAATCGCTTCGCTCATTCCGCCGGCCCATATCGCGCACCGCCGTTGACTGGCCGAGTGGCCGTCGGCAGTGCGGAGCTGCAGGGGGCGGGGGACTCAGGTTGTGCCTCCTGGGGGCGGAGCTGCAGGGGGCGGGGGCCTCCTGGGGCCGCCTGGGGGCCTCCTGGGGGGTGTCTGCCGCCTGGGGCCAATAGTGTAGCGTCGCTGGCACTTGCTTGCGTGCTGGGGGGGCATTTGGGTGGCCTGCAGGGGCCGCTTGGGGGCTTCTTGGGGGCCTCCTGAGGGCCTGTTGGGGGCCTCTTGGGGCCTCTTAGGGGCCTCTTGGGGCCTCCTGGGGACTTCTGAGGGCCGAGGGCTCGAAATATTGTTTCGTGTTCCCCCCCTGGGGCCTCTCTTGGGGCGTCCTTGGGGCCCTCTTGGGCCGTCTTGGAGCCCTCTTGGGCCGTCTTGGGGCCCTCTTGGGGGCCTCTTGGGCCCTCTTGGGGCGGTCTTGGGGTCTTCTTGGGCCGTCTTGGGGTGTCGTGAAGCCGAAAAGGTGGAAACGTGAAAATTCTTCCAAAACCTCAGGAAAAGCAATGAATTCTGCCCTTGGGGCCCTCTCGGGAGTGCTCTTGGAGGCATCTTGGGGCGTCTGGGGGCCATCGTGGGCGTCTTGGAGCGATCTTGTGGCATCTCGGACCCCTCATGTAGCATCTTGAAGGCCTCTTGGAAGCCTCTTGGCCCTTCTTGGGGCTCTCGGGGACGTCTCGGAGCCGCGTTGGTGCGCTGCTGGAGCGCCCTGGTGACTCCTCCCGGGACTCTCTCAGGACCTTGCCGGGGTACTTTCCGCCCGGGGACCCCCAGGGGCCGCCCCGCGCGCGCGAAGTAGAAATAGAAAGATTGTAAAGCAGTCACCGGAGATCTTAGCACGCCTCTGGCCTGTTGGGCCGGCGAATTTCATGGCATTGCAGTTCTGAGAACAGTGTTCTGCCACGCTTCAGGACTTTCGCAACGGGGCATTCCCTTTAGTGTACTTGAACCCTTGTATGGGACTACGAAGGGGGAGCTTGGAAGGAGGGCGTATTCCAACATCGTTGATGACTCTTGGGTTTGCACTGGCCCCTCCTCCATCTCCTCCTCCCCCTCCTCATCCTCCTTCCCCCCCTCCCATTCCTCTTCCTCTCCGCCCTCCACGGCTCTCTCGTCGCCCTCCTCGCCTGGCCCTCCCGCTCCTGCTGCGATGAGGAACTGTGGCTTCTGGCGTGTGTCGTGCCGCCGAGTTTGGCCCACCGCGCTTCGGCGCGAGACGCTGCAGATTGTGGGAGCCTTGTGTACCGTCTCGATTCCGTCGCCGGCGTCACTTAGCGTATGGTAACCGATTAGATAGCGCCGATGTAGCGCCGGTTTAGCGTCGGCCAGCGTCGATTGGCGTCGATTCTGCGTCGACCACCGTCGAACAGCGTTGGGCACCGTCGGCCAACAAGATGGTACAGAAGGCTCCCATGAGTTTCGACCGAGCGAATCACTTCCTCATTTCCAGGCGCAAGCGTCCCGAGACTTTCCGAGCCTCCCGCCTCGCGGAGTTGAGCGACATTCCATCCGCTTGCAAGGCATGATGGCGTGTCGTTGGGGCCGCCGCCGCGACACGCTAAGCAGAAGTTCCGGACCGTGTTCCAGCTCCTGCATCCCCTCCTCGCCGTAGCCCTCTCGTCTCGACGGAGCCTTGGTTCTGGCCTCGGCGACGGGGCTCGAGAAGCCAGAGTTCCTGCTCGAGCGCGCTGGCCAGAGGAAGCCAGTGATGGGACACATTGCTCCAGAGCGATCCAGACCGGTCGCGGAGCGTTCCGGAGCGCTCTGGAACGGCCGCAGCCCCCGATGCATCCTCCAGAGGCGTTTCGAGTTCATCCTCATCCGAAGTTGTCCTCGCCCTGCCCTCGTCCCACTTGCCGGGTGTTGCTGGAGGTGCCCCTTGCCCAAGGTGCCCCCAGGATCTCCCAGGAGGCCCCCACGGCCTCCAGAGCACCCCCCCTCACGAGGCCCAGAGGGCACCGGGGCCCCAAACTTTAGCGATGAGCTGGGGGCACCTTGGGCCAGGAGCGCCCTTTGGCAACCCGCGACCGCTGTCCAGGGCAGGGGCGGCGTCCCGCGAAGAGCAGCGGCAGCGAGGGGCCTCGTGGACCGCCGCCTGCGCGGCGGCTCGGGCCGTGCGCCCGTGGCCGGGAGGCGGCCCGAGCCGGCCGCGCGGCTGCGCAGGGTGCAGCCAGGGCGCCGAAGCGAGCACCAAGTCGCCCTCTTGGGGCCATCACGGGCCGTCTTGGAGGCCATCTTGGGCGTAGCCGCAAAGCGTTGGGATAATCCTGGGCCGTCTTGGATTCCAAAAGACCGTCGAGGCCCGAGGGCCTTCTGACGTCGCCGCTGCCTAGTCGATGCTTCTCCTCGTCAGCTGCACGGTCACTGCCGCTCCCCAGGAAGGACCATTGTGGCTGGGCTCAGTTCGACTCCTGCGATTCGGTTCGGTTCGATTTCGATGGCTGCTGATCCCGATTCGAGTCGACGTCGGATGCCGCTTTGGATTCCCATTTCTCCATAGAGGCCTACCGGCCTGCCGATTCTGCCGATTCGACTTCTCCCGACTTGGCTGCCGATTTCCACCGATCTGGTTTATTTCGATCGCCGATCCGACTCCTCGATTCGATTCTGGGCTCTCTCCTGCTGTGAGCCTGGCAAGGTCTGAGGTGAGTACCACCCTGGGATCGTGAGGTCCACTGGGGGCTCGGGAGGGCCTGGCAGGACATCTGGTTGTGCGCAGAGGCCACTCACCCAGTAGTCTGGCCCTCCGAGTAGTGCTGGGCTCGCCGTGGCCAGAGAAGCCCCATTTGCTCCTTCCACTCGTCAGGAGGGACAACAACACACAGGCACCAACGTCGATTCCCAGGAAACGATGGGAAACTATGGAAAGTGGGGGCGAAGGCGAAAACCAAGACGTGTGCGCCCCTGGGCCCCTTCAGTTCGGCGTTCCTCATGATAGCACGGTGGCTGTGGTGGAGGCCGCACATGCGGGACAAAAGGGCGACGCCGAGTTGCGGACCCGGCAACAGGGCCCCGGATGGGCGGGCCCGATGGCTCGGGCGTGGCCAGCTCGGGCGCGTGGGCCGGGCGGAGGGCCAGGAGAGAGGTCGCGGGCGAGGGTTCCCCGCAGATCTGGGCGCTGCATTTTTGTTTCACGCCTGGCGTCTTTGCCCGATGCCGGGTCCGGGGGCCCTCACAGATGGATTTGGCTCGAAACATGGCGCAGGAAGATGGTGTTCAGGGTTCTGGTCTTGGTTTCTCGCCATGTTGCAGTCTTTCTCGCAGCATCGGATCTCAGGGTCTTCTCCTGGAGACGGGGGCCGAGGGGGAGCCTCGAAGCGTCAGAGGGCCACTTTCCCCCCTCCCCCCCCCCCTTGGCCGCGCCCCGCCCTCCTGCGCGTCCTGCCTGCCGCCACGTCCGCTGTGCTCGGCGACCACCCTACAGGGCGCGCCCGCGCCCCCGCCGCGACCACTCGTGTGCGCTGTGCTCCTGCTCTTCCTGCCTCCAGCAGTGGGCCGCGGGGTGCTTGCGAGGACCCACGCGGACTACTCGAACGGCATATCGACTACATAATGGATTGACCTCAAGAGTGACTCGTTGCCGAGCTTACAAACCAAAGCAACTAACGTAGAATGCCCGTATATCCACGAACATTATATGATTTGCTCGTATAGATTGAACACACAATTTCGGGGTACATCAGTTCTGTACAGTGGGGGCGCGCATCGAGAAACCACATGCTTTTCGTCAGGGTACCCTGAGTTTCTTTGCTCCGCGCGCTGCGCGGTGACTTCCCGCAGCCGTTGAAGAAGCTGCCGCGTTCAGGGTGCTCGGGTTTCCCCTCAGGTGCACCTCGCGCGCGGGTTTTCGGGCTGGGGTTTCTGGCGAGGGTTTCCTGTGGCCGGGCCCGCACTGTAGTCGATCTCCTACTCGACCTACGTCGTCAACAGGGCCACCTGCTCTGCGGGCGGCTAAGCGGCCCCGCCCTCCGACGGCTAAGCGGCGGCGCCCGTCCTCCCTGGCCGTGCAGTGCCTGACCAGAGACGCTGCTGCACCGCCCCGTGCCCTCGTGCCCTCCCTCCTTCGAGGCCTCCCAGATGGGGTCCGAGCAGATGGGGTCGGAGGATCGCCCCGCATCGCCGATTCATCGGCGATTCGGCTCGATGTGAAGCCCAGTGCGGCGTCGCCGATGCATCGGCGATGCGGCGCGATCCTCCGACCCCATCTACTCGGACCCCGTCCAGGAGGCCTCTACTCCTGTTCCTCCCTGGTATACCCGTGGTCGATAATCGTCTTGTCAGATTTTTAGGGCCGGCTAGGAAGGGCTACTCCAGCGCAGCCCTCTTCCATCCTCGTCTTGTTCGCGTTCAGTACGGCGAAATATTTGTCAATCGGGCTTAGCAGCCTTTTATCCTTCCCACGAAGCCCTCCCAGGAGTTGCCGCCCAATCCTGCTCCTCCTCCCTTCTTCCCCTTCTCCTTCTCTTCCCCTCCCTCCCTCCCCACCCCTCTTGCTCCCCCCCCCCCCTCTTGCTCCCCTCCCTCCCTCCCCTGCTTCGCCTCGCTCCCTCCCTCCCTCCCTCCTGCTCCCCCCCTCCTCTCGGCGCACCTCGCGCCGCCCCCCGCTCCCGCTCCGCAGGCGAGGCCCGGCGGGCCGAATCCCTACGCCAACATCAGGCACGGGAAGAAGCTCTTCGTCGGTGAGGGGGGGGGCCGGCCGCGGCTCTTCGGCGCGTAGCGGGTGGGGTGGGGACGGAGGAGGAGGACGAGGAGGAGGAGGAGGACGAGGAGGAGGAAGAGGAAGAGGAAGAGCAGGAGGAGGAGGAGGACCAGTGTAACCCCAAGACCGTCTAACGATGTTGTAATAAACCCTTATTCTAAGCTCCCTCTTCATAGGCCCATACAAGAGTTCATTGTCAAAAAAGGAAGCCCCGTTGGAAAACAACCGTTTGAGAATCCTGAACTGTGCCAGAACATCATTCATGGGACTTAAACGCCGCGAATCACCAGTAATGTTGCGTCTTGACGATTTTGAATCGTGCCAGAATTTAATTCCTGTGCTTTCAACACCACGAATTCGCCGGCCCAACGGGCCAGAGGCGTGCTAAGATCTCCGGTAACTGGTTAAGAATTCTCTAGTTCGCGCGCGCGGGGCGGCCCCTGGGGGTCCCCGGACGAAGAGTACCCCGGCAAGGTCCTGAGAGAGTCCCGGGAGGAGTCCCCCAGAGCGCTCCAGGAGCGCTCCATGAGCGCACCAACAGGGCTCCGAGACGTCCCCGAGAGCCCCAAGAAAGGCCAAGAGGCCCCCAAGAGGCCCCCAAGATGGTACACGAGGGGTCCGACATGCCACAAGATCGCTCCAAGACGCCCAAGATAGCCCCCCGACGCCCCAAGAGGCCTCCCAGAGTACTCCCAAGAGGGCCCCCGGAGGCAAAATTCATTGTTTTTCCTTAGGTTTCTGAGAGATTTTGGAGCTTCCACCTTTTCGGTTCCCGACGCCCCAAGACGGCCCCAGAGGCCCCCAAGATCGCCCCAAGAGGGCCCAAGAGGCCCCCAAGAGGGCCCCAAGATGGCCCAAGAGGGCTCGAAGACGGCCCAAGAAGCCTCCAAGACGGTCCAAGAGGGCCCCAAGAACACCCCCAAAGGGGCCCCAGAGAGGGAACACGAAACAAAATTTCGCGCCCTCGGCCCTAAGAAGCCCCTACGAGGCCCCAAGAGGCCCCTAAGAGGCCCCAAGAGGCCCCCACGAGGCCCTCAGGAGGCCCCCAAGAGTCCCCCAAGCGGCCCCAGGAGGCCCCCCAAATGCCCCCCCGAGCGCCCCAGGAGTCCCCCAAGCGGCCCCAGGAACCCCCAAAGCGCCGCATTGACACCAGGCCCTCGGGCAAACGGCAGACATGAGACCGTATGGGCCGGCGGAATGAGCGAGGCGATTCAATAATTACCCTGGCGACGTACCCAACCCCTGCGCAAAAGCGGGGCGCAAATAGTTTAGGATACTTTATAAGGGGGCGATGACGGAGCGAGGGTTACATATGTCTGCAGACGGAATTCGGGAGACTCGCAGGACACTGGCTACAGGAAAAGGGCATGATAAAGCTGATGATTTACAATTCCTGAGCACTCCTAGCCCTTCGAAAACGGGGATCACAGCAGGCCTCGAAAGTGGCGACAGGTTCGCAGATCGCAGCCCCGCAGGGATGGCGAGGTCTCATTTGAATCTGCCCGTGGCCCTCACTGTGCTGGGCCCCCCAGCAGGCCTCGAAAATGGCGACAGTTTCGCAGATCGCAGCCCCCCAGGGATGGCGAGGTCTAATTTGAATCCGCGCGTGGCCCTCACTGTGCTGGGCCCCCCAGCAGGCTTCGAAAATGGCGACAGTTTCGCAGATCGCAGCCCCCCAGGGATGGCGAGGTCTAATTTGAATCCGCGCGTGGCCCTCACTGTGCTGGGCCCCCCAGCAGGCCTCGAAAATGGCGACAGTTTCACAGATCGCAGCCCCCCAGGGATGGCGAGGTCTAATTTGAATCCGCCGTGGCCCTCACTGTGCTGGGCCCCCCAGCAGGCCTCGAAAATGGCGACAGTTTCGCAGATCGCAGCCCCCCAGGGATGGCGAGGTCTAATTTGAATCCGCGCGTGGCCCTCACTGTGCTGGGCCCCCCAGCAGGCCTCGAAAATGGCGACAGTTTCGCAGATCGCAGCCCCCCAGGGATGGCGAGGTCTAATTTGAATCTGCGCGTGGCCCTCACTGTGCTGGGCCCCCCAGCAGGCCTCGAAAATGGCGACAGTTTCGCAGATCGCAGCCCCCCAGGGATGGCGAGGTCTAATTTGAATCCGCGCGTGGCCCTCACTGTGCTGGGCCCCCCAGCAGGCCTCGAAAATGGCGACAGTTTCGCAGATCGCAGCCCCCCAGGGATGGCGAGGTCTAATTTGAATCTGCCGCGGTTACCCTCTATGCAGGACCCCCCAGCAGGCCTCGAAAGTGGCGACAGTTTCACAGATCGCAGCCCCCCAGGGATGGCGAGGTCTAATTTGAATCCGCCGCGTGGCCCTCACTGTGCTGGGCCCCCCAGCAGGCCTCGAAAGTGGCGACAGTTTCACAGATCGCAGCCCCCCAGGGATGGCGAGGTCTAATTTGAATCCGCCGCGATTACCCTCTATGCAGGACCCCCCAGCAGGCCTCGAAAGTGGCGACAGTTTCACAGATCGCAGCCCCCCAGGGATGGCGAGGTCTAATTTGAATCCGCCGCGGTTACCCTCTATGCAGGACCCCCCAGCAGGCCTCGAAAGTGGCGACAGTTTCACAGATCGCAGCCCCCCAGGGATGGCGAGGTCTAATTTGAATCCGCCGCGATTACCCTCTATGCAGGACCCCCCAGCAGGCCTCGAAAGTGGCGACAGTTTCACAGCCCCCCCGCAGGCAAGACAGAAAGAGGCAGGAAAGAGGCGGGAGGCGGGAGGAGGAAGGACGCGACCACACTGCTCTATTCAAAACGAATACCCAACCAAGGAGGGTTGGGAAAAACAACTTGTTGCGCCCTGACAATCTGGTATCATACCAACATATAGTTTCTGGGACGTTAGCGATGCTACTCCTTGAAACAATTGTGAACTTTCAAAACGAGCCGCTGAGGCGATAACCACATTTTGAACAAAAGGAGCCGCCGTCCATACTGAAGCTCTTAGAACTTTTGAAATGGAGGTGCGCGGCGCTGGCGCACATTTTGAAAAAGGACATCTCCTCAATCCATGAAGCTCCTGCACATGTTTAAACATGATGTGCGCAGCGCTGAGGCGAGAGCCACATTCTGAAAACCACCCGCCTTTAATCCGTGAAACTCTTGCAATTGTCTGAAATGGATGCGCGCGGCCCCGAGGTGAGAGGCACGTTTTGAACACGACCTGTCCTCAATCCGTGAAGCTGCAGCACATGCTCAGAACATATGTGCGCGGTGCTAAGGCGAGAGCCACGTTGTGAAAACCACCCGCCCTCCAGCCGTGAAGCTTTTGCAACCTTTTTGTCAACGGATGTGCGCGGCGCTGAGGCGAGAGCCACAGTTTAAAAACCACCCGCCCTCTACCCGTGAAGCTGATGCAAACTGTACGGTTCGGGATCATGAATGGTGCAGACGTCTCAGGCGAAATGCTCGGCCCGCCCTTCCGACTGGCCTCAGGCTGCGACAGGGAGGAGTTGTTGATGAGGAAAAGGGATGGAGGAGGAGGAGGAGGAGGAGGAGGAGATGGAGGAGGAGAATGCCAAGGAGGAGGAGGGGGAGGAGGAGAAGGCCTGGGGTGGGGGGGCGACCGCCGCGGCTCTGGGCGCGTGGCTTGTCCTTCGCCTGCTAGTGGGGGGTAGCTTTTTGGTTGCCAGGGCGAGGTGGGCTCAAGTCCTTGGGCGTTTTTCGTTCAGGGCGTCTTCGTCTCTTGGGCGTTCCTGTGTAAGTCCTTCTGGGGGATTCTTCGCCATGGCCAGTACCTTTCTCAGAAAATAGTCGTTCCTTAGTTTGCTCTTCGCTGACTCTGGCCCGAAGACGTCTGACTCCCAGCAGCAGGCGAATGGTTTTGTGGGGGGAGGAGGAGGAGTACTCTAGAGATGACGCCGATGCCTCTCCACATATTCGCCCTCTGCGCGACCCCCCTGCAGTGTGCGAGGATGCCCTTGAGCACCGGCCTAAAGCCGCGCAGAACGATGCAACTGCTAGGAGCCAAAATGTGTTACAATGCTATTCTTCTTCTGCTGCCACTCCCTCCTCTGCCACTCATCCCTTCAGGCTCCCAACAATCGCCGCAACTTCAAAGAAAAAGTAAGCCAGATGAGGGATAAACGCGAGACAACACCAGAGGACCTGCCCATCCCCACGAGTCTCTCCGAGCTACGGGTGCGCTGCGGTTCACAATTTAGCTCAACCTTCCCAGGCCCTTGGCCGAGCTAACTGCGGACGAATGCGTCTACATGGCGCTGGAAGCTCTCCCCTCCTCCCGCCCCGCCCCCCGCCCCTACTCCCTTCCCTCCCGACCGCCCCCCAGAAAAGTCAAAATAGTATGGTGCAACCAATCCGCTGCAACTTGCCTGCCCAGCTTCTCGCTCGGCCCTCCCAGGCCGTTGGCCACGCGAGTTGCTGGGAAGGGCGCCGGACAGGCGCTGGAGGCTCCTCCCTCCTCCCAGCATTCTCTTCTCACTTCCTGGCCCCACCCCCAGAACGTGGCCGAAACAGTGTACCAGCCCAGCGTCTAGCCCGGCCCCCCAGGGCCAAACGTTTGGGATGCGCGCTGGCATAGCGCTGCAAGATCCCCACCCCCCCACTCCTCCACTCCCCTCCCCTCCGGCCCTCCCCCCCAGGACGTGGTAGACCAGACTCGAGGCAGTGTGCTGGCCCAGCGTCTAGCCCGGCCATATCTCCCGCCGCGGCAGCGTGCCGGCTCAGTGTCTAGCCTGGCCCTCCAAGCCCAGGGCCGAACGCACATCTGGGAAATGCGCCAGCATGGCACTGCAAGTTCCTAGCTCCTCCCTACCACCACCCCTCTCCTCTCCCCACTTCCCTCCCCCCCCGACCCGTCCCCGAGAACGTCGCTGTGGATCCGAGGCTCCGTGCCGGCCCAGCGTCTAGCTCAACCCTCGCAGGCCTGCGCGAGCGTTTTGCCCCCGCAGCACGCCGCCGAGACGCTACTTACTATTGCACTGCCCTCCCCAGCCCAACATCACCA